TGCTTACCTATTGAATCGGTTCCATTAGTTTTAATATGAACACTTTTCCATTCATCATTCAATAGTTGCAAATGGTCAAAGTCCAAATTGAATTTACTTCCCGTTGCTTGAATTAGGAAGAAAAATACATTGGAGTTGGAGCAGTTTATCGGGTCACATGAGTTATGCTCTTGCAAAAGTAGGAGTTGAATATACATGCTCCAATATTACGTTTACCTAAAGGCAAGCAAAGTGCACCATGAAGGATCTGCATCCCTTTTTACCTCCTAACTACCGCTTAGGTCTATTACGATTGTTGTCTAATTGAGACCATCAGGGGACAATCGAACTCTTTCATAAAATGTTTGAATAACTTTCAGTGCTGTTGTTTGACACTTAGTGTACACTTACATCTCAAAACACTCAAGACCTTTAAGCCGGTATAAATTTAATTAGAAGTTCGATCTTTTTTGACCTATTATGACTCAATAGGCAGTACCCACTTGAGATGGTACAGTATTGATTAAATTTTGTCGTTGTTAATTGTTTTATTTTTTTCCCAACAGGAAAGTACCGCCTGGAACCACTAAAAAGGGAAATAACGGGAAACGGAGGTCGCTCAAGTAGTAGATCACCTCAGACTCCACCAAAACGATCGGCCAGCCCATCTCTTAAATTCGCCTTGAAATTGGGAGCCCATCGTTTGCTTTTAGCTCCCAAAGAGGCCATCTCACCCTTGAGAGAATTCGCCAATCGAGTGGTGAAACAGTTGACTGTTTTCGGGGTAACTGGAGCCCAAGTTATTGCTCAAAATGGGACCAACTGCAGCGCTGCCAATATGGAACTGATGAAAAGCTTTGCTGATAGGTATCGACGTTTAAACAAACGTCTTTCTGTTTGTTCAATGCCCACGTTGGAGGAGAACGTTGATACAATTCTTATTGTCTTTGTAAGTTCAAGTCTACCTTTTTGAATACGGACGAAAGTAAAGTTTGGCATATGACTTTATCTTATTTCAGCCGAATTCAACAACTTCTATTCTTTTGACGGAGAAGGGGACGTTTATCACTTGCACGGATGAAGGGACGAGAGTGGCCATTAGAAGTGCCATCTTAGCCTCGTCTCCCAAGATGGTTACGTTGCCTTGTGATAATCGTTGAGCCCATCTCAAAATAATTGTAAATAATGGAACGTTGAAATATATTTTTCATACTACATCAAAACTTTCAATGACTGACTCAATCTGACTAAGTAAGATATCTATTTGAAATTTTCGATCAGGATGTAGTCTTTAGCAAGGAAGGCTGTAAATGTGGACTGGCAGCTAAGTATTTGGATTTGTCTTAAACCAATCTTCACTATGATGACAGAATAGAAGAGACGGTCACAACCAGCGAGATTTGTTGACAGAAGTCTCCAGAGGAGGGAAAGAATAGGATCAGTGAGAGGGGGGGGAAGCGGGTTGCTGTAGGTACGGTGGTTGCCAATATGGCTTGGCGTTGGGAGGACCCAGAATTGATCGAAGAAAGCCCATTTGTGTTCGAGGCACAGCAGGTGAGCGCCAAGTCAGATCAGGCTAATGTAGCGAATTAACAATGCCAAGTCATTTACTATCGCAGTTCAACTAATTTGAGATCACAAGTAAATATCGAACCGAGTTGTAAGATCAGGATAATTCAAAGTAGCAAATATTTAAGGATTTAGTTGGATATTCTTTTAATTCCCTCAGTGTTGGCGATCCAATCTGGAAGACAAATTTCTACCAGGCGACATGCTTATTTTTTAAAAAAGTCTATTTTAAATTGTTACTGCATTTGGCATCACTGGTGAAAAGGAATAAATGATGAACCTTGGCTTGTCCAATGCTGAAATCTAAATGCTTCTAATGTTGCCTCGTAATCGGAAGGTGTTGTCAACTGTCACTTGCATTATTGTGGACAGCAAATTACCCTGAAGTACTTTGTAAGAAATTCATCTCACTGCAATTTTCTGGGTCTCGGTTTTCTGAACTACTGTATAACGTTATGATAAATTACTCATTTCTTAACCGAAAGGTTGCACGTCATTCAGGAAGCGGAATCGGAAATCAACTCCAAGAAGATTAGGTGGAATAGAATCAAAAGGAAGACCCCACTAAACTTGCTTATAGAAGAGGTTGAGAGGTGAACCCAATATGTGGACGACTGAAGATGAAGAGGACATAATCAAGCTCTTCTCTAGTTTTTGGAGACAACTTAGATCGATGTATGAAGGTGCAAGCTACTCTTCATCCGAAAGAAATTGCAAATCACTTTACCTCCAGAAGAGGAGAGATTTCTTCTCTGTTATGGAAGTAGCAGAGATGGCTTCATCATGCTGTCCTACTTTAAATGATAAGTCCCAGCTATGACTGCGTTTGTTCAAGTGTCGACTTTTATCACTGGTGTGAGTACAACTCCGAAAGTTTATCTTCGATCCACTCTTTTAATAAAGATATCTTTTCGACTCTCAATTTTGGCATAGGCTTTGGGAAGTTGGATTTATTAAAGGTTTATCTACAAAGCAAGGTCGAGTCTGAATGTCATGAATTTCTGGTCTATAGCAATTTATCAGATTTCTGCTCGTGGTGAAAGTTCAACCCCCCACCCCCAACCCTTTACTTTATAATGCACAACACGAATTGCGGACTAAATGAATATTGAATTGAGAATGAACTCCACGAAAGAATCGAATATCTACATGGATGCATTCCCGATTATCATTTCGATTTGGAGTCACAAAAGTGTGTGCTCTTTTTATTAGCTATATTTTGAACTCGGAATGTCACCATCCTGATACTTAACGAATTCAAGTTATTATGAACATGTCATCTCCAATGGATACCCAAACTCTTCGCTCATTCCTGGGATTAAGTAGTTACTACGACAGCTTTTCTCTGTGTCTCTAGTTGGCTTCCAAGTAGAAAGATCAGGCTTCGTATTAATGAGAGTTAACCCGTCCTTTTTATATGCCGCTAACCGAGGTGCGTGATGGACTTATCTCCATGTGGTACACAGTGGAAAACATACTCAAAAAGTCTATAAACCGTCTGTATGTCATATTCGGCCACTTTCTCAGTACCCACCTTACCTTTTTCTCTACTTTTGTGTCGGTCTCTATTACACCTGTGAATCACTCGTCCAGTTAGTGGAAACTCAACTCAAAAAGCTGGACATCAAGCTCAAGCAATTTCAAGAGCTCGAGGCCATATTGGAGCGTGAACACGAGATGTTGGAGCAGGCGCGTCAGCAGTTGATGCACGATCGTCAGGCATTCCACATGGAAGTGATTAAAACCATGGAAAGTCAGGCTCGTGTTTTAGTGCAACAACAACAACAGCCTCAGACCCCTCAGGCCATTCAAACCGCTCCTCCCCCGCCACCAAATGTCTCTCTCCAACAGATCCGTTCTCAAGCCTCTCTTCAGCAACAACAATTTCGTGCTCCACCGTACATACAACAGCAGTCAGGTGGACCACCTCAACTGCGTCCAGCCCCTTCCACCATGATGATAAGTTCTGGCGGAGGTCTTCCTAGACCCCCGGAACTTGCCCCTATGATGTCTCAGCAAGCACCACTTCCACCAACAAATACTGGCATGCCACCCATGACTGGTCCACCTAAATTGGCCCCTTCTGTTAATGCGACAAAAATGGCAGATGGAGATGAAAGTGGTGAGAAAGAGTCTGTTGGTCAAGAGGAAATTAAAAAGCCCATTGAACAGCAGGAAGCGGTTGCTAGGCCGCAAGGCCCTGCAGAGATTATTGCACAACAGCCTAGTGCAAGTACTTCAGACCAACAGGTCGGAGAGGAGACTATTACTGAGGTGCAAAAAGTAGGCCAGGTTGAGGAGCAGGATAACGGAGATGGTGATGAGGGTGAGGATGCTGAAGGAATGGAAGAAGATGATGACGATGATGATGAGTCATGAAGTTTGCATTTTGTTTTTGACTATTCTTCTTCCACATACCTACTACCGAGTTTTGACTATTTGTGCATCACTATTTCTTCTGTCGTGTTTTCCTGCTACGTTGTACGTCAAAGTAATGTCTTTTAATAACATAATTGTAATATTATAAGCATGCGTCATTCTGTAAGTGGTGGTGGGGGTGGACGCATGGAAGTTGGAATGGGCTCTCTTATTGTTCGGTTGCTTTCGCTTAGATCCGTCTGCCCGCGGGATATCTCCAAGTTAAGATTGACTCGGAAGGAGGAAAGCGAGTCTTCCACATTTTAATGTTTGTATTTGACAGAAATAATATTTTTAGCTGCAAATGACAGCTAAGCCGACAGAACCGTTTAATAATAATGGTGGGCGACTTAGACACAATCTGCAGGAATTATTTGCCCAAAACTAAGCTTAATTTCCACGACTTTGTGCCTCTTGCTGTCTCATCGTGGCCAATGCAATTATTTCTTTAGGTGCAACCATAGTAAATGTAAGTATATTTAACCGTTATCACCGTTAGAGTCGAATGCAGTTCCGTGGTAATTTGTCCGTGTGGTTGCAGCCATACATTGACACTATTCCACTTCTACCAACATCTCACTTTGTCTGTTAACTTTATCTTCAGTAATTTTGGTAAAGTGTGCCTCTTCTATGTCGTAATACTGATGTAGTGATAGTTCTGCTGCTAGGATATATCTGCCCTTTTAGATATGACCAGGCTACAGCCGACTCGGACTCAGAAAGAGAGAGAGAGAGATAAGCTATAGTGGGTTGGCCTAGGGCATCTTATTGGTGTGGTAATGCATGTAACTTCCTGTTATTTGTGATCAGTTCTGTCTCACGCTATTACCAAGCTGTCCTGAGTGATTGAGCTCTCTTCATAATAACCATTGTGAGCGTCTAGAATTCAACCTGTTGCAACTGATTTTCCCGAGTCAAGATAAATACTATTGGGTGGGCAACTAAGTCATTGCCGTTTTTGTTGACAGATTCACTCTATACTTTCTTTTGTTTTGTTAACGTGTCCAGAGTATCTAACCTATATTTTTTTCTTACTGTATTGGCTTCTAGGTTAATTAGTAAAAAATTTTTTTGTTTAGTTTTTTAGTTTTGTTTTTATCCCAATTTAAAAATGAAAGAACAGGACGTGCACTTCCGACACATTTTATTGTATTACTTCCGAAAAGGCAAGAACGCATCGCAAGCACAAAAGAAGTTATGTGGCGTATATGGAGATGAAGCCTTAAAAGAAAGGCAGTGTCGAAATTGGTTTGAAAGATTTCGTTCCGGTGATTTTTCACTGAAAAATTCACAACGATCTGGCCGCCCAGTCGAAGTGGATGAAACCCATATCAAGGCCATTATCGATTCAAATCGTCACAGCACAACACGAGATATTGCAGAGAAGCTCAATGTGTTGCATACATGCATTGAAAAAAAAAATGAAAAACCCTTGGTTATGTCAAGAAACTTGATTTATGGATCCCTCACCAGTTAAAGGAAATTCATTTGACGCAACGGATTAGCATCTGTGATTCGCCGCTACTGAAACGCAATGAGAATGAGAATGATCCATTTCTGAAGAACCTAGTTACTGGCGACGAAAAGTGGATAGTTTATAACAATGTTACTCGCAAGAGATCATGGGTGAAGCAAGATCAACCAGCCCAAACAGTATGAAAAGCAGAGATTCACCAAAAAAAGATTATGCTGTCAGTNCAACACTAATGCCCCGCGTTCTACGGATCTCAACAACTCTTTGCGTCGCCCCTCTCCATCTTCCCATTACACACACAACCTCCTCTGCATTGCTCTTGGTGATGACCCCTTCTTATGAGGAAGCAATACAAAGGGACAGAATGAAGATACCTAGATGCCCCAAACCTATAGGTGACCGATAGTGCAAACGCCAACATCTACTTTCAAGCCTTCGCCCTTAATAACGGTGCTTATCAAGACCTTTACACAGCCACACAATGCCCATATCAAAGACGTCTTTTGACAAGTATAAGACCTCGAAAGCGCCTCGCAATTCTAACTCCAATCCCGAAGAACATCATGATCACCCAACTCACCTACCTATATCCCATCCCTTTGTCAACAGCACAAGCCTACCAGCTTCTTTGGCGCTCCACAGCCCTAGCTCCAACAAATTCGCGAAGAAAAAGGCACACGCTATGTCTGCAGGAATCTTCAGTGAACTGATCACAAAATCAAAGAAATTGCCCTACATTTACTTATATCCAACCATACTAATAAGCCAGCAAATCTCGACCAAGACAAACCGAAATAGCTAAAAAGACAGATATTCAAATGAGACACTGTGTTTGTTTGGCAAATAAGTGAACTTTACATAATCGGTTAATTTCTTCAAGTGTTGGATGCCATCATCTACAAAAAAAATAGGCTAAGTAATGGCCTTTACACAGTCAGACTCATTAAATCAGCATCCAACAGGATTATGGAAAGAGTTTGTCATCACACGACTCACCTTCAGATACCCATAATCGAGTGTCGTGTACGCCCTGAAAGAAAACAGCGGCATCAATATCAGAATAAAATTTTTTTCATGCAAGTCAATGGATTGACAGATTACAAAACATCATTAAGAACACAACTTACTCATGAGGCCAGCCTCTTGTAGGCGCCCACAAGAAGGTTCAAACACAACATTGTTCAGCACCGGAATAACTCAAAGCATCCCCATTAAAGCACCCACCAACTGCATTGTGGGTTGAGTCTGCCAACAGGAGGGCTTAGCATTACGAATTTCGTTTTAAGTAGAGCTGGAAATTGCAGTATAATCGCCCTCTCTAAAAGAAAAATCGAGGTCAGACAATCGCAAACTAATCACAAATGCAATGCACACGGTGGGTTCTGAACCATGTTTGCTATTAAAAGCAGCATTACAATTAATACAAGGCGAATCCATCATCATACCCAAATAGACAACCACGCCATCCACCCAAATTACGATCAAGCAAAAATGTGCCCTTCATACAACCGTTGGCTTTAACAAACCTGCTTCTCAAATGTTGAAGGTAGATTAAACAAATAAACGCTTCAACCTTATTTAAAATGTTGATCTATTTCGGCAAAATTATTTCTCATCTATATTAAGATCCATTGGTTCCAATAGTGATTATATACAGCTTGTGAATAATCTAAGGCAGTTAATCGCGGCTTTGATAAATTAATAGCGCCAACCAAAAAATTTCGTCTTTTCAAGCTAGAAATCTAGCACACTCCATTTAATCACTGCAACAATTTCAATAACCATTTAATTAACTGCCACTAAACACATTTGAGATTACTGGCTTATTGGGGAACTAATATGAATTAGTAATACGCTATTTATGATGTGGGTTTTAAGGGCAAGGCCATAAAGTTTTATTCAGAAGCAAATATTAGTTTATAATGTTATCGTCATATTTAGAACTGCTGTCACGGTCCTATTACTATTCGCTAGCACTTAACAACAATACCCATGTTTCTTACAATATTTTCCTATTGTTTAATTGCAGATTTTTTCAACAGTTTGCTTCACTCTCCAATAACATTTTTAATTTTAATGTTGAATCGATTTAACCATTTTCCATTTTCATATCTACAAAATTCAAAGATTTGCTTATTGTGCTATTAAAACTTCCATGTCTTTTGTGGCCGCTTATTCTTTAGAATATTAGTTGAATGCATAAGTCAAGTAAATAGCTAAAGTTGTTCTTGCATTTTTCATACTATATAATTACACTGAGGCATGCTGCTTTGATTTATTATATTTAGTTTGAAGTCTGAGTCTCTAAGATATCTGAATTGAAATGTAACTAACAGTATTAGCGAGTGAAGTTGCTTTATGTCCTAGAACAAATAAGAAAAATAAGCCCTCTCTAGAACTATTGTTACTCAAACTCATTCAGGTTTTTTTAGCATACTCATCTGCATATAAGCATAGCATACGTTCTAAAAATTATTCAATTCGTTTCTGCTGATCAAAAATTATTGATCACATTTTCGAGTACTTGAATAGCTTTTTTACTTTTTTACACGTACCCTCGATTAACAAAATTCTCTCAACCTTTCTATTTTTAAAGAAACTTAAAGAAGCTTTATGCACCCAAAATAACTTAACATTCTGAATAGACACTCATAGGAGTTTCCCATAACTCAAGTAAAATAAGTAAATTAAATTTGCAAACTGAAACATAGATTTGCCCATTCAATTCTTATGATATTGGGACACTATTACACAGTGACTGAACACCCAATACCTGAATACCACGGAAAACACCATTTGCGAATGTGCTTTGTATTTACACAAGTATCAATGTTGACATTGAAAGCAATAATCTAAGCAGTAGCAGAGTCCATCATCACCAGAAGAGAGTTCTTTCAAGAAAATCTGAGAGCCAACCACCCAGTCCTGTCACCTGCGCCCCTCTGTCATTAAGACTAGCGTCTCTAGGCAATGGAGCGCCACGCTTTTCATCTACCTCAAACACGTCCGCCTCATCGCTCAAGTAGGGCTTCAACGTGGGTGGAAGCGCAGGTCGCTGAGATGTAGCCTTCGTCTCTGATACCTCTACCACCTGTGAAAGAGAGGGCTGCTTCAACATTGGATCTCGCCCCCTGTCTACTACTGAGGTACTTCCAGACCGAATTGTTCTACTTCGTTTCATCCCGTGGCGAGAAGCGCTAAAGTTAAGAAAAGTTTAATTTTTATATACAGCAAGCGTGAAATCTTAGTAAGTACATTATATGGACAAAACGAGAAATACTGAAGGCATAAATTCTATGAAGTGTAAATAAGACGAAATTATGGACCAAGGAACACAAATAATAAATTAAGCGAGAAGAACAGACAATAAGTTCTAGATGATCGAAAACATCCATTTCGATTAAAATGACTGCAAAGACTGATCTCATACGTTACCGTCCAATTTATGTATTTGTATTTTCTTTAAGCTAGCTTTGTGGCTTATGCAAAGCATAGCTGAAAGATAATGACCTTTCACTGAACGCTCAAACAATCTCATTTAGTGCAACTTGATATCTTTACCATAACCTATTCTTCTACTTAACTCTTGGTCATCGCATGAGAGGGAAGTTGCTGCTTACTGTTCAGATTTGCCGTGTTAAGATCTTAAACAAGTGTTTCCTTGGGATAGCGAAACGTCAAATTACCAAACCTAAAGTAAGGAAAATTGCTAGTGAATAATCATATTCCTTACTTGATTTGCATAGAAAGCGCTGTTGTTAGTGATCAATTTTGTATAATTCTAACAATAAAGTCAAAAAAACCCACAAGAGAATTTATTATTTTTCGAGGGAATGTAAAAGAGTTGAAATCAATTTCAAGGTAGAAAGTTCTCCGAGTTGACTTGAGGAGAAATTGAATCTGCTATGACGAAACTTTATGCGATCATATTTGGTCGACCATGTCGCGGAACTAAATTAGAGCGTTCTAGTGCTTCTAGGCTGCTTCAAAACTCCATGATTTCATATCATTAAACTGCCCGCCTCTCTGTATCAATCAAAAAATTAAAACGGCCTGAATATATCTACTAAAGTAGTGTATTTAAGGGGTTTGCTTTGAGTAAGTTTAACGGAACAAACGGGGAGAATGAAGGAAATACTCAGAATTCACAAAATGAAAACAAATTAATTTGGAGAGAGTCGAAGATATGATCTGTATGCAGAGATTTAAAAAGAGGAGGATAGAAAACATTACCGAGATCAATTACGAACACCGGCGTAGAGGAAGTTATTGCAATGATCAATCACTGTTAGTAATATTAAACAGGAAGACAGTGAGAAAGTTTTACTTTTACCAAGTCTAATACTCGCGAATATTATTTGATGAAGTTCGAATGCTAACAATATGATAAAAATGAAACATCGATACATTAAATATAAACCTAGCGTAAAATAATTTTAATAGGGCAGTGAGACGTCATGACGTGGAATCCACAATTACAGAAAATAGGGAAAAAATTAACACAAAGATATTTTAAATTGAAGGACCAAGAAAAAGCTAACGAACTGTTATCAATTGATAAGGTAAGAATATATAACAACATTCTACATATCAGGCTAGCGCTATATTGGGAACTGGATAAACTAAAAAAAAACAAAAAATAATATGTCTTACGCATATCCTCTGACCTACGAATTTCTAATATAGTTTCATAACCCGTGCTCCAGATCATCTCGTCACAGTTATCCAATACAAATATTGCCGAATTAATACTCGGTCATCACAATTTGGACACGCCGCAGTACCTTGTCAGTCTATCTGCGTTTTAGTGAAAACGCAAACGTGCAGGTAAAATAATTAAAATTAGCAAACAATAACAATATTAGGCAATGAGAAAACGATGATAAATTAAAACATATGTCTGAAACAATAATAAAATACTGGAAAAACCAGATTGCTTACGTAGACTTTTGCCTGGAAAGCAGATGAGCACTAATATCGGATTGTTTTTTCTGAGATGCCAGGTTTTCACAAACAGAGTTAACTTTACTGAGAATAAGTTCTTTTGAGACAGTTGTCAGTGCCATCACGATTACCCTGAGCTTATTAAGTTGAAAAGTAATGCTAATAATTCCCTTCACTGATAACAATTGCTCCTCGATCATTTTCACGTCACTCTAAAAAGAATATGGCCTTGAAAATATAGACCTACCATCACAAGGTTTCCCATTAATTGGATAATAACGTTATAAGATTGACGCTTTGATCTTGAACGGGCGGACTTAAAACTACAAAATACTCTGAAAAATAATGCCAAACCTTTCTAAATTAGGTTTCTTAAAGTTGATAACATCGAATATATCGGAAGCAAGGCGGGATAATGCCAAAGGCAAATTCTTATCACTTTTAAGCATAATAAGCGACTCATTCAATCCAATTAACCTCGAAAGAATAACAGATCCGTTTTCACAATCGATCAAAGCCGAAAATATCTTTAAGTAAATAATAATATTTATTTTACCTCAAGAACATCACAAGTAGTACTAAGATTTTCCTTTGTCAACAAAAGCACAAGGCCTCCAAGGGACGTTGCATCCTAGAAATTTACAAATGAATGATTACGTACCGCGAGCAAAGACGCACGTCTGTCTTTATCCAAAGCAATATCTTTGAATGCTTTTACCAAAGCCTCCATTTTTCAAACTGGTCGCTCCTGAACAGTCGAATGTAATACCACGACACGAAACAACTTATTGAATGAATATTTAAAATATAAAATTTTATTCTTTATATAATTTGTCTTTAAATAAAATCACATTCAGATAAAAAGACCGCTTATAGAATTTAATATCCTTGTTTATAAATTTGTAAAATTTATCATTCATAATAATTCCAGTAAAAAATTTTTACTTATTTTAAATATTATATGAACTTTAAGAATATCAGAGTTTACATTTTTATGCCTTCAATTTCTTAACTGATTGGCTTACCGTATTCGCCGCTTGTAATTCCCGTGATTTTCTCACAAATGTTTGCTCTCAAATACATCGGAAGCTTTGGAAGAATTTCTTGCTTCACACGAAATCTAGTAACCAGAAATGATCAGTTCTGTTCTCAATTGCAATCAGTTAGGTTTGGACAGCTCATGTCGACATCAGCTAGTTCTAATAATGTGACGGTTCGTCTATTTCAAGATTTATTACAAAATTATGTAGAATAACAAACTAGTGTTTGATGGTGTTATTCCCATTGGTATGTTCGCTTTTTATCTAATTTTAAGATGATCTCGATATATCGTATTCGTTATCAAGCGGTCCAGGAGGCCAGAACCTTAATAAAAGTAATTATTTTTCCTTTCATTTCTTTTTCCTTTAGGGCATTCCAAGGTTCAAATAAAATTTCATATCGCTTCCGCGAAATGGATACCAGAGGAGTTGAAACCCTACTTATTTGAAAAGGTATGACTTTGATCAATGGGTTTCTATTTATAAATGTTTTTTTAGGAATCGCATCGCATTACGAAAGATGGTTTTTTCATTATTCAGTCTGACAAAACCCGAGTACAGCTTCTTAACCAAGCCGACTGCCTTGAACGCATCCGTCGAATGATTCGCGATCGACTTTCTGAAATAAACAAACCAGAAACTCCATTAGAAACACTTAAAAAATTTCATCAATGGTATATTTATTTTGTCTCATCATTTCGTTTTACAATCAACTTTCCTTGTAAATAATTGTCCCGTTTTTATTAATATCTTGCCCTGTATTTATTTGTCTTTCAGTCGGATTCGTGAAAATGAAAAACGTTTGGTTCTAAAGCGCACGACCTCCATGACAAAGGCCTATCGGCAGAAACCTTCTCAATGGGACCTGTAATGTCTTTGGTTTCTTCTTCCTTGTATATTTGAAGATCTTAATAAATACTTATATTTAGAAATATGCTTCTTTCTAATCCTCCTTTTTAATTGTCATCTATCGCAAAATTTCTTCCAGTTAGTAGCCTCAAACTTCGAGCTCTGAGCCCCGAGCAAGTGATTCGGTAGTTAGTTAGTTTACTAGTCTATTTCGGGTTTCTGATAGTTTAGTTAAATTAGTAGTGTTCCTTTGCCTTTATTTTTGCTTGTGATGTCGAATTAACTTGCCTACGTGTCCTTTAATACCTCAGCTACTTATTTTTTCACAATGGCATTGTTATAGATGCCAGAGGGAAAATCGACATCTCCGACAAAGGAAGATCTGCAGAATGCCCGATTGGGAAGTCTCGCTCCGGAGTGCAATAATTTAAAGGATGAATACGAGCAGTGTTTCTTTGAGTTCTTTCCACGTTTTCTCTGCGGGGAGAAGTTTACAGTAGATCCCTGTGCCACGCAGTTGGATGCCTACAGGAGATGCGTTCGATGCCAACTTGAGACCAAAATGGGGGTGGATTTGACCAAATTGGACGCCCAACTGATGTCTCCTACAGAGATGGCCGAGAAAATAGCTAGGGGTGCTACAAACACTAAATCATAATTGCTGATTCACTTAAGTATTGTGCCTTGTCCTCTTTCTTAGTTGTATAAAATAGATCCTAGTTTGTGATTTAACGCCCTTATTTATATCCCATTTTCGATTTATTTTTGAGTCCCTCCTCTTGCGTGTACCAATTCTATCAATCACATTTGAATCCCCTGGAGCTTGTATGAAATCCACATTCAGCAAAAGCTTACATAAATTTCCTAATGCGGTACAAGTGTCTATATAGAGAGCAATGTTCCATCCTTTGTGCTTTTTATTTTGCAATGTTCATTTTTTAACCGCATTTTATATGTATAAAATGCAATGCCAGTTATCAACCTTTTGGCTCAGTTACGGTCTTAATGTGTTTGCCATACTCTAAGACTTCTCTCTGTTTCGATTGGCTCATTTCATATTCTACATCCACCGCCACTATTCTGACCTGAGGATATATAAGGTCATGTTGAAATTGAGATATAAGAATGAAAATAATACATGTTCAACTAGGTCAATTTTTGCAGCATAGGTGTCTAAAAAGCAACCTATACGTATTTTGTTTCCTGTCATAGTCTTACGTTTCAGTGTTTAAGTTTCTTAATTTTTTATAGCATCCCGAATTAAGTAATGTTTGTGAAAAAATTATTTAGTTAAGCTGTCGAAAAAAATGTATGGTTGATGGAACACTTCCGAAAAATATTTTATATAATAGGCAGGAGCCTTGAGGATAATCAGAGCACTCCAATTTTAACAAAAATAACTCATCTTGAATAATATCTTAACATTTAGGTTCGTACAGAGTTTAAAATATCCGCTTGATAGTACAAAAATTGATTTATGTGTTGAATGGCTTGAGTAGCATTGGAATCCATCTGAGGAAAAAAATTAATCTAATGAAATACTAATGTCTGATAGCAGAGGATGGAGTCGCACTCATTTGGGCTTCTCGGATATATCCACAGCCCTTTGACGCAGGTTGGCTAATCTATGTGGAGTAAAATTAATTAAATAGAGAGGCGAACACGATCGAGTAGTGAATTCCCGAACATAGATTGCTCTGACTTTAATGCTGGGCCTTATGCATGACGTTATGCTCAGTTGTCTGCTGGTGATCTATGATTGGTTGCTCATCGACAAATGACATACACAAAGACATAAAGCATTTTCATCCTCCCTGCATTTGTGCTCCCAATCACAACTCGGGTCACCTTTGCTCTGTACCAGCACCTTCCATTTCCTTTCCATTCTCATTCATTTTCACCGCACAATTATAGCGTGCGTCCCTACTTAATTCTTTTTCCTAGTAGGAATATCACTATTCTTGTAGGTAAACTTATAGTCTTATCCTTTCTCTCGCCTACAGTAACTGTAGTAAACTGATCGGAGTTACCTTGTATACTCAAAACCGACTTTGCATATATGAACAATTATTATTAAGACATCGTGAATTAACTGCCATGATTACTCTTACTTCCTATTCTTAATTTCCTATCAACTGCATTCAATAAACCTTTAGAATTGAACCTTTTCCTCGTCTTCATTTTAGAAAGACGTATTTTAAGATGTATAGTTGGACGTTTGGAAGAGTGAATTTAGTGAGATTCAATAACGTCACCCTTAGAAGTGTGCCGTTTTCACCCGTTGTGCAATGAAGATATTCTGATTAAATAACTCGAGCACTTGTAACACGGCAATTGTTACCTTTTTCTAATATACAATTTAGTTCATAGCTTAAATCTACGCAGTATATTAGTTCCATTTTTTGAAGGACTTGAGGAAGCTACAGTCAGTTTGTGTTTTAGTAATTCTGAAAATGCAAGGTAAAATTTCCAATTCTATAAAAAATTCTGGATGCTATCATTTTTTAATCACGTAATGCGAATATGACCGATCATTCTAGGTTAGTTATACGCAAGAAAATAATCTCTTAGACGGGGCTTTAACCTCTCCTGAAGTAAGATCGTACTTTCTATTAAATACACATCCCACTTTTGACATCGTTGCATGCTTTGAAGCATTTCGATTAGTAGAATTCTGTATATGACATTTCATCCGTTAATAGGTTAAGCAATATAAACATGATTGGAAACAGTACTAGACAATGAATAGGACATTTTACCAAGCTATGGGAGCTAATTATATCAATATATGCTACCACTAGGATTTTCACAAATATTTTAGTTTTGGACAAAGTTCCAACCTCATGGGAAGTCAGGGTTACAAAGAGGGTGTATTTCCTTACCTTAAGAAAGAGTTGGAGAGCAGGCGGAAGTGAAATCTGGGAATCAGGAGAACCCAATTTCCTCTGAACTTCATAATTGCCATGATTTCGGAGGCATTCACTTTTCGAATACTTTTTGAAGTACTCTTCTACTGATAAAGAAGCCGAAGAGTTCACCTCTAAGCTTGTTGTGATCGATCCACTAGTATCATTTCATCTCACTTTCATTTGCATAGAGTCAATTGATCGACATAATATTTTTATTTTACATCATACGAGAGTAGGGGAGAACTGAGAACATGAAACAGAGGGTAAAAGATTGGAAGAGGGGAGAGAGAACATTATTAATTAATAAATGACAAGTTGGCGCGTGGGTGCTGAAAATTGGAAGAGGATGATAGGTCAGCTAGATTTAGTAGTCATATGGATAATAAACTGTCACTAAACTTTCCTCAACGAAAGTATAAAGGAATTTTAACGCAATCAAAACGTTTTGTTTTATCCCATGACACATATTTGTATAGGCGTGTAGTGGATGGCCTGCAGGAATGAGATGACGTGTTAAGTGATGAAGTGTCCCATAGGCGACATAGATTGTAGGTTTGAATGAAAACATTAATAACAATATCAATTTCGCATATGCGATGGAATATTCGCACCAATTGGATGAGTGACAAATTGAAAAAGATTGCAAAAATCTATGCACATGATAAACATTTGCGTGATTCATTACAATGAGACTAAAATCCACATGCCCAAATAAGAACAAATAAGATCAAGTTATAGGCCCCCAAGGCACCTTGCCATGGATAAATTCGAAAAAGACTAGGCTAGCTAGTTCAGAAACGCGACTAAACAACGCAGCTTGACGCTTGGTGTCTCTGTGGGTATCTATTTGCCCAGACCCGTAGATAGTGCCATGTCATTCCGGGTCAGTAGTTGTTTACTTTCGTGCACTGCCAAATTTTGTGCTTCCTGTAAAATTCCATTTCGGTGAATATTCATATAGAGGAGTTTGACATTAGACAGTCCTTAAACATAATTTCGCCAAAGCAATTGCAGAAAGAACTTAGAGCTCCAGAACACTGACTTTGAAAATATAGATACTGCTCTTATTTATGTTGTTATGTATCATGAAAAACCGAAGTAAAAAAAACTAGCGAAAAGGGGATTAGTAGTCTCCGCTTAAATCGAAATTTTATTAAGTTGAACGTTTATACGTTTGATAAAATTATAATAGACAAAAACATCTATAAAGTGTCTTGACTATTCAATAGAAGCTTGTTTATCTTCCCAAACACTGCCACATAAATCGTTTCTATCCCTCCATGGATTGACATGCACACAAACCATTAGGAAGTGTAGAGTGACATTTAAATCTAAAATAAAAGTGATGTAAATCCTTAACTTAAAAAAATTTCAAAGCCCAGGAAGTAAACAAAATTTAACCCGACTACCTATCCACCATTACATTTCTAAATAATTTCCGCAAGTCATAGTTGCATGCCATTTTGCCTAATTCTTGTTCTATATAAATAAAAAAAGCGTCAAAAATTTCTACAGAGGGCTTATTTTCATTATTTGTTCTAGGACATAAAGCAACTTCACTCGCTAATACTGTTAGTTACATTTCAATTCAGATATCTTAGAGACTTAGACTCCAAACTAAATAAAATAAATTAAAGTAGCATGACTCAGTGTAATTATACAGAACGAAAAATGCAAGTACAACTTTAGCTATTTACTTGACTTGTGCATTCAATTAATATTCTAAAGAATAAGCGGCCACAAAAGACATGGAAGTTTTAATAGCACAATAAGCAAATCTTTGAATTTTGTAGATATAAAAATGGAAAATGATTAAATCGATTCAACTTTAAAATTAAAAAATGTTACTGGAGGGTGAAGCAAACTGTTGAAAAAATCTGCGATTAAACAATAGAAAAATATTGTAGGAAATATGAGTATGGTTGTTAAGTGCTAGCGAATAGTAATAGGACCGTGACAGCAGTTCTAAATATGACGATAACATTATAAACTAATATTTGCTTCTGAATAAAACTTTATGGCCTTGCCCTTAAAACCCACATCATAAATAGCGTATTACTAATTCATATTAGTTCCCCAATAAGCCAGTAATCTCAAATGTGTTTAGTGGCAGTTAATTAAATGGTTATTGAAATTGTTGCAGTGATTAAATGGAGTGTGCTAGATTTCTAGCTTGAAAAGACGAAATTTTTTGGTTGGCGCTATTAATTTATCAAAGCCGCGATTAACTGCCTTAGATTATTCACAAGCTGTATATAATCACTATTGGAACCAATGGATCTTAATATAGATGAGAAATAATTTTGCCGAAATAGATCAACATTTTAAATAAGGTTGAAGCGTTTATTTGTTTAATCTACCTTCAACATTTGAGAAGCAGGTTTGTTAAAGCCAACGGTTGTATGAAGGGCACATTTTTGCTTGATCGTAATTTGGGTGGATGGCGTGGTTGTCTATTTGGGTATGATGATGGATTCGCCTTGTATTAATTGTAATGCTGCTTTTAATAGCAAACATGGTTCAGAACCCACCGTGTGCATTGCATTTGTGATTAGTTTGCGATTGTCTGACCTCGATTTTTCTTTTAGAGAGGGCGATTATACTGCAATTTCCAGCTCTACTTAAAACGAAATTCGTAATGCTAAGCCCTCCTGTTGGCAGACTCAACCCACAATGCAGTTGGTGGGTGCTTTAATGGGGATGCTTTGAGTTATTCCGGTGCTGAACAATGTTGTGTTTGAACCTTCTTGTGGGCGCCTACAAGAGGCTGGCCTCATGAGTAAGTTGTGTTCTTAATGATGTTTTGTAATCTGTCAATCCATTGACTTGCATGAAAAAAATTTTATTCTGATATTGATGCCGCTGTTTTCTTTCAGGGCGTACACGACACTCGATTATGGGTATCTGAAGGTGAGTCGTGTGATGACAAACTCTTTCCATAATCCTGTTGGATGCTGATTTAATGAGTCTGACTGTGTAAAGGCCATTACTTAGCCTATTTTTTTTGTAGATGATGGCATCCAACACTTGAAGAAATTAACCGATTATGTAAAGTTCACTTATTTGCCAAACAAACACAGTGTCTCATTTGAATATCTGTCTTTTTAGCTATTTCGGTTTGTCTTGGTCGAGATTTGCTGGCTTATTAGTATGGTTGGATATAAGTAAATGTAGGGCAATTTCTTTGATTTTGTGATCAGTTCACTGAAGATTCCTGCAGACATAGCGTGTGCCTTTTTCTTCGCGAATTTGTTGGAGCTAGGGCTGTGGAGCGCCAAAGAAGCTGGTAGGCTTGTGCTGTTGACAAAGGGATGGGATATAGGTAGGTGAGTTGGGTGATCATGATGTTCTTCGGGATTGGAGTTAGAATTGCGAGGCGCTTTCGAGGTCTTATACTTGTCAAAAGACGTCTTTGATATGGGCATTGTGTGGCTGTGTAAAGGTCTTGATAAGCACCGTTATTAAGGGCGAAGGCTTGAAAGTAGATGTTGGCGTTTGCACTATCGGTCACCTATAGGTTTGGGGCATCTAGGTATCTTCATTCTGTCCCTTTGTATTGCTTCCTCATAAGAAGGGGTCATCACCAAGAGCAATGCAGAGGAGGTTGTGTGTGTAATGGGAAGATGGAGAGGGGCGACGCAAAGAGTTGTTGAGATCCGTAGAACGCGGGGCATTAGTGTTGGGGAGTATAGTTTTATGAAATTCAATCTTCGAGGGAAGGCGATAAGTTGGCACAAAAAAGGTTTCCCATCAGTCACGTTTTACGATTGGAGCAATATGAGCAGGCTTAATATTTATGTCGTCTTACTAGAAGGTGATCGTTCTAATTATGTGCCACGTCCTTGAGAGATGCATATGTTTTTAACGGACAATGTCGGACTTCAAGGAAACAGCACAGGGTTTTCCTATTCATCCTTAGCGGTGCCGAAAATAGTCATTTTTAGCGACTGATTACTCATGGGATAAGGTCATTGTTTTGAGACGTGAATAGACCTCTTAACTAGCTTCTTCGAGGTGGTCGCACCAGCCATGCTGGTCTATTGAATGCTGTCAGTTGCTATCCCCATTTTCGCTAGTATGGCATACTCTGAGGGATTCCGTCAAGGAGAATGAGCTTTTTAAAAAGGAGATAATAGAAATTGGTCTGGTGATAATCGCCAAATTGAACGGTCTCTAAACTCTCCATGCAAACGCTACTAGTCTTTAGATAACCCCATATATCCAGGCATTAACTCTAATTGGGAAAGTTATGTTATCTTTCTGCTCTTTGATCTTGTGCTGATGCCTCAATGTGACCGAGGTCAAAAGAGTTCATTCAGGATTGACTCCGATGACGATTTGATTTCTCTTTCCTTTCAAGACCAAATGTAGAGAAAGCCAAAGCATGCATAAGTTGTGGGCTAGGATCAAAGTAACACTTAAGAATTGATGGGTGGAATTTATAAGTGATTGTTTAATATTTTTATCACTTCTGTTATTAAAGGTCTATGGGAAGAGGAGAGATAGAAGGACGAACCAATAGGCATTATAGAGTATGGGAGTGAGAGGGAGCTACCATCATGCAACTAAGCAAGATGCTAATGGGATCGCAGTTGAACAGATGAGTTACTCCATATTCCCCGTAATAATAGTAAACATTGTCAAATTACCTAAGGTAGCTCACCTCAGTAACATCCTTGGCTCTAGGTAGCAGTTATGACTAAGGCGATACTGATTACTGGTAGAAAACGAGCAAACCAGAACCCATAACTATTAGGTTGGCAACTAAGTCATTGCCGATTTCAAATAAGAAGGCAAATTCGGAATTTTTGCTTAAAAATATAACTTTATTCAATTAGATATTGGCCGTTCTTGTCGATGACCTTTTTCCATCGTTCTGGCAGAGTAAAAATTCCCCGTTCGTAAAATGTCTGGTCTTTGCCATTAAAAAACTGAATTAGGTGTGATCCGACATCATCTGCGTTGTTAAAAATTTTACCATTTAAAGAGTTTTGCATGGAACGAAACAAATGGTAATCCGAAGGCGCAAGGTCAGGGCTATATGGTGGGTGTGACAAAACATCCCAACCCAGTTCCAATAATTTTCGCCGAGTAACCAAAGGTATGGGGGGGGGCCTTGCGTTATCATGATGGAAAACAACACCCTTCCGATTTGATAATGCCGGCCGCTTATCTTCAATTGCATCCTTCACTTTTTTGAGTTCTTCAACATACACATTTGAATTTATCGTTTGGTTCTGCGGCATGACTTCAAAATACAAAATTCTTTTGTGAACCCACCACACTGACAGCATAATCTTTTTTTGGTGAATCTCTGCTTTTCATACTGTTTGGGCTGGTTGATCTTGCTTCACCCATGATCTCTTGCGAGTAACATTGTTATAAACTATCCACTTTTCGTCGCCAGTAACTAGGTTCTTCAGAAATGGATCATTCTCATTCTCATTGCGTTTCAGTAGCGGCGAATCACAGATGCTAATCCGTTGCGTCAAATGAATTTCCTTTAACTGGTGAGGGATCCATAAATCAAGTTTCTTGACATAACCAAGGGTTTTTCATTTTTTTTTTCAATGCATGTATGCAACACATTGAGCTTCTCTGCAATATCTCGTGTTGTGCTGTGACGATTTGAATCGATAATGGCCTTGATATGGGTTTCATCCACTTCGACTGGGCGGCCAGATCGTTGTGAATTTTTCAGTGAAAAATCACCGGAACGAAATCTTTCAAACCAATTTCGACACTGCCTTTCTTTTAAGGCTTCATCTCCATATACGCCACATAACTTCTTTTGTGCTTGCGATGCGTTCTTGCCTTTTCGGAAGTAATACAATAAAATNATATTACAATTATGTTATTAAAAGACATTACTTTGACGTACAACGTAGCAGGAAAACACGACAGAAGAAATAGTGATGCACAAATAGTCAAAACTCGGTAGTAGGTATGTGGAAGAAGAATAGTCAAAAACAAAATGCAAACTTCATGACTCATCATCATCGTCATCATCTTCTTCCATTCCTTCAGCATCCTCACCCTCATCACCATCTCCGTTATCCTGCTCCTCAACCTGGCCTACTTTTTGCACCTCAGTAATAGTCTCCTCTCCGACCTGTTGGTCTGAAGTACTTGCACTAGGCTGTTGTGCAATAATCTCTGCAGGGCCTTGCGGCCTAGCAACCGCTTCCTGCTGTTCAATGGGCTTTTTAATTTCCTCTTGACCAACAGACTCTTTCTCACCACTTTCATCTCCATCTGCCATTTTTGTCGCATTAACAGAAGGGGCCAATTTAGGTGGACCAGTCATGGGTGGCATGCCAGTATTTGTTGGTGGAAGTGGTGCTTGCTGAGACATCATAGGGGCAAGTTCCGGGGGTCTAGGAAGACCTCCGCCAGAACTTATCATCATGGTGGAAGGGGCTGGACGCAGTTGAGGTGGTCCACCTGACTGCTGTTGTATGTACGGTGGAGCACGAAATTGTTGTTGCTGAAGAGAGGCTTGAGAACGGATCTGTTGGAGAGAGACATTTGGTGGCGGGGGAGGAGCGGTTTGAATGGCCTGAGGGGTCTGAGGCTGTTGTTGTTGTTGCACTAAAACACGAGCCTGACTTTCCATGGTTTTAATCACTTCCATGTGGAATGCCTGACGATCGTGCATCAACTGCTGACGCGCCTGCTCCAACATCTCGTGTTCACGCTCCAATATGGCCTCGAGCTCTTGAAATTGCTTGAGCTTGATGTCCAGCTTTTTGAGTTGAGTTTCCACTAACTGGGCCACAAGGCCCTTAATGCGCTTCTCTTCCACACTGGCCAAGTGACGCGCCTTTGTAGCGGCTGCAGCCAGAGCACAAGCTGCAGCAGTACCCAGACTATCAGGATTCTTCGGTAGACTATTAGTTGACTTCTTAGTCTCCGCATCTTTAGCAGTCGCCGCGATGTCAACTTCCATCTTTTCAGTAGTCTCTGCCGAATCCCTTTCCTTAACCACATCAGCAGCAGATTTACCATCAGTGGTCTTCGTTATCTCTCCTTCTGCTGTTCTTTCAGCACCACATTCTGAGGCCGGCCCCTTTGCCTGCTGTTCCTCGTCTACTGCTTCAGTGGGAGACTTTCTCTTGGTTTCGCTCTCAGAGGATTTAACAATACCAAGTTCATCCAGACCGAATTTAGTGGGATCAACATCCCGACCCATTCTCACTGCGGCTTGAACTCGAGCCTTGTGTTCGTGCAGCAGACCCGCTGGGACCTAAATGAGAAAACATTATGGACTTGAGCATTAAACTAGAAACATGAATCGAAATACATGTTTTAAAAGAGGTCGTCACTCATGGCTCCTAAAAAATTGCTTCAAGATAACTAAAATAGGAGAATTCTAAAGACTTCACTATATAAGAAATTTTGTACATAATTAGAGTACTGATAAATGAGTTAATTACTTAACAAAGTCAGCAATGTTCAACTCTAATGTACGATTGTCAGCAACCCAAATCGCAAAAAAATATGACAGCACCGGATATACGAAATCTTCCTTATTAGAATCAGCCGGTTAATTACGCAGATATGCTTCAATGAAAATTCCTATGGTGATGAAAAAATCAAGACCACAAGGAAAAATATCTTTTAATCGACGCAAAAGGAGAATCCGAGCAAAAAAAGATGAATTGCGAAGCTAAGAGTTATATGCGAAACAGTATTCTCACAATGTTGATGTGGTATTCATTAACAAAGACTTATGGTCATTTAAATCTTACGTTATGAAATGATAGCTGAAAGGCCACATATCAGAATGGCATGTTGCCGTGGGATTCAATGATAGCAACTTTTAAACACGCAGCAGCAACTGCTATTCGGGCTGAGAATAGAAAGGGCACTCTTTTCCAAAAGCACCTTCTCCTTAAAAGCTATGCAAAAACTTGTCCGAAGGAATTTTATTAATTGACAATCACAAAAAGTGAACATATTGCAACTTGGTTTCCTTAACCAAATCCTACAGCTCAAATATCTCTCAGTCAGACCTCCTTTGCCTATAAATATGATACTGACAAGTAATCGTCCGAATATCGAACCCTTACCTCCATTTTGTAATAATCATTTTGATTGAATAGTAATCAGTAACAGATTCGAATATGACTAACCTCCTCACGCATTTGAGCATACTCCTTCAAAGCTGCGGACGCAGCACTAGCAGCAACCCTAGGATCAACTACAGCAGCCAAGAATGCGACAGTAGAGAGAATAGGATTTCCGGCCTTTGAGAAAGGAGGTTGTGGATGAGCAGCATCTGCTAAAGCAGAAAAACAATTACTACCGAAATCCCCCTCCAAATAGGCATCTTCAATAGGTAGACGCAGAAAGTGCAGAATGCATTCGTCCTGTGTTCGACTGCCCACATGTTCTGCCACTTTATTCCAGTCATCTCGATACATTTCCAGACCTTCGAGTAAAAGTAAGGTTTCCTGGTCTGTCCATCCATCCTTATTAGAGCCTTTGAGTAGCACCTGATTGGGAGCTATTGAACTGGCGTCGCCTGTAGCATTGTTACCAGAGAGATATTGATCGCTTCGAAGTAGAGGATCACCCGTGGATGGAGGAGCTGTTTGACCTGGAGGGGTTTCTGTCTGCCCAGGCTGTGGGGCTTGGCTTTCTGCTGTACCCAACTCCGGCTAAAATAAAATTATTAAGCACTAGTTCATAGAAGTCATAATAAAGACAATTACAGATCCAGTAAAGACTATAAAAACAGACGGAGAAAATAACATCATAAGATAAGTAATAAAATAAGGATGAAGATCAAATTACCTTGACTGGTTTAGCCTCAACTTCAGCACCTTCATTACTCTTGCCAGTTTCTACTCCAGATTGTTCCTTATTGGTCAATTGTTGTTTGGCCGTTTCTTCAACAACTAGAGTTGACATAGCAGCCTGATTTTGACTACCGAGTGGTTGCAGACCGCTAGCACTATCCGTGAGAACGTTAAAGTGAGCAGTGGAGGGGGGTCCTAGACTAGCTGCGACGGCTAAACGCGCGGCCTCTGAAGGTATCTGTCCAGCGCCGGAGGGAATTAGCGGCGATGCCACTTGGTAATTTATGAGACCCCATTGCTCCAAAAAGGCATGCACTCGTAATACAGCACAGACATCTCCAGTGAGATTACGTCGACAGGCAGTGAAAGTGAGATACTCCTGGGGATTTAGACGATAGGTATCTATCATGAAGTTACGGTAGGCTAAGTAAGTTTCAGGTGTCTTGCTCTTGTTACGGCCATTGAAGAATTCGGGTAGGGAGCGGCGCTCTATTGCATGGATAGCGTTGTAATCAAACCATGCCGAGTAGGAAGGAACAACAATGCAATGAGCCTGTTCAATCACACTCATATCACCGGCGCCTCCTGATTGATCAGCACCTGAAGTTACACCATCGCCCTCTCCCGTATGGTCAGCGTCGACTGATGCTTTTCGGTAACCAAAAGAAATAATACAACTCAGTACACACCAAAACATCTGAAGCTTAAACAAACTGGGGATAAAATTAGAGCCAAAAGTTCCTAACAAATGAACTTCTAACAAACATACCATATGTTTTCATATCAAAGGATTTCATGTTTCGTCTTTTTGTAGCTGAGACACATAAGTAGACACATACATTAAAAGAATTGCAAAAACTACGGGGAGTACATTAAAACTTACAAAGATCGGCAGTTGCAAGAGCGGTACGAGAATTTCTTGAAATCATGTTTGCACCAGGAGCACCCAACGGTACTTGAGAGACCTTATTTGGAGGTTCAGGATCATCCAGAGAACGAGTCAAGTCATTCGTGTCGTTCGTATTTTCATCCCTCTGATCTTCGGGAGTTGATTCCATGTAGTCCTGTTGAATACGAAATGGAAACTGGAGAATCAAATCGTTGGAAAATCTTAAAAGAGTACATAATCTAACAGACGAGATACTAACACGAGTAGTTAATTTTAAACTCCTCCACTTTTTAATCAATATGAGAGAACAAGAATTCTGAAGACAAACATAAATATACACAAACGAATTAAAAAATTGGCTAAAAAGGATATGTTAAATTAATTAAATAAAACTTACTTCCTTTTTGATCTTCCGAGAAGATGAAGAAAATTTAGAAGAAGAAGCAGAGTTGACCAAAGAACCATGACGACGCTTTTTATTGCTAGTGTAGGACTCCGTAGGTGAAGGAGACCTCTTTCGTTTCTTTTTCTGGTATGTGGCATCTGACGATGTCGTGGTCGAAACGTGCGGCGACGCAGATAGAGAGCTCGCAGAGAAGGAGCTTGTCCAATTCGAACCAGGTGCTTGAGAAGGTTGGGCATTAACAAATTCTATAAATTCATCATCTAAAATCCGCGCAAAAAAAATGTCAAAGAGAAGTTTTAATTTAATCTGAAAATATTTCAGCAATAACAAAAGGTGTAGTATGGCTGAAACTTGACGACAATGGAATGAGGCTAAACAGCTTAGTACCGTGAAGATAATCATAAAAACATAAAAAATGCATACAAAAACACTAACAAGTGAATGATTTCCGGGGGAGAACAGAGCTACTGGAATGAAGAAAATCCTCTTCCAGCAACCATTCACGATAACTGGCGGAGTAAATGAGCCACCTAGCGTCAACAGCCCATGGAGTGCCTCCAGGAACCCTTGGCTCAGGATCAATGTTGGCCGAATATTCTACGGGGAGATCTAAAAGTCAACAAGAAAGATGTCAACTTGATGTCTCAAAAACAGTGGATGACAAGCGCACAGAACATACTTGTATTCCAGCTATCGAATGAACCTGGAGAAAAAAGCCAGTGAAGAAGAAGACCCCGACCTTCTTTGAAAACAGGACGGAATCTCTGACACGATGAGTCCTCACGACCATCGCCGGACCAGTTATCTGGAGGAGGGTAAACGAGATGTGTGGCTTCCTCCGGTGATCTAGAAACTCCAGCACCAAGGGCAAAAGCAGCTTCCTGCAATCGAGCAAGCAAAGGCTATATATAAAGAAGAACACGATTACAACTGACAAGGGAAACACAAAATCAAAGAAAATATGATATATGTTCTACCTCTTCTACATTAGTGAAAAATACAGAGGGGTTTGACCACAAATGTTGATGAGATAATTCGCGTTTGATTAGTTCGAACATTTCCATAAATTTATCAACTCGAGGCGAGCTGAAATCCAATTTTCTCCAACCCTGATCTTGCCGATATTTCATACATACAAGAAAAATATAGCACAAAGAGCCACCGGGCTTAAAGTCAAGAAAGAGTCTTGAAGGTAACTTCGCAGGTGAATTCTAATAAATAACAAAACAATAAAAGCATAAAGCAATATTACGATTTTGCCAAAATGATGCTCCTGAAATATCAAAAGCTGATAACAAAGACCGGCAAGGCTTTTATTAGTTGGTGGCTCTGATTGTGTGTATTTTTTGTGATTTCGCGTAAGCCATGTTCTGACGGGATCAAAGTTTGCTATTACTTCAGGATTTTCATAAAATTTTGTTGAAATCCCACAGCCATTTGGACGATTCAAACCCATTTCAAAAGAATAAAGATGGGGGGAAATTAGATCCTAGCGGAGTTGATTGTATAGTGATAAAACAACAAAAAGTTTAGGAATACACCTCTGTTTAAAATGGAATTTTATGACTTTCAAAGTAATAGAAATAAGAATAAAAATAAATTAAAAAGCTAATAATGCAATCATCTTTGATTAAGTTTATAATTTGTAACTCATTTTAAAAACAAATAAAAAAATCTATTGTTGAAATATAAAAACTTATAAATTGTTTTGATTTTGGCCGTGATTTTTTTCTTTTAATTTTATCAAGGGGAATTTCTCTTAAGGTCCTTGATTGCAGTAGCATTTTATTTGCCATAATGACGTTGAATGATACTGACGTTCAAAAACAGGTGAAGTCTTTATTTATCTTATGCAAAAAATTCTCGCTTGCCAATATGTGTTTCTTATTTTGGTTTGTGTGGTACTAATTTCTTGGCGCATATCCTTTTCAGATTCAACGCCTTATTTCCTTCATTGATCAGGAGGCTATTACTAAGGTAGAAGAGCTCGATGCAAAAGCCGAAGAGGAATTCCAAATAGAAAAGGCGCGCATTATTCAACTACAGCGTATTAAAATTGGTGAACTCTATCAAAAGAAAATCAGGCAACTTGAGCTAGCCAAGAAAGTGTAATTCCTCCTTTAGTTTCCCTGACAATATTTAGAAAGGATTCGACTTTGATGAATGCCGCTCGTCTTAAAATTCTTGTTAGTCGCGACAATTACATTAATCAACTTTTGGATGAAGCTCGTTCACGACTTCTAGAAATTTCTAGGAATCCTAATCAATATTCATCTGCGTTAAGTGGTCTTATAACGCAGGTAAATATCGAATTCTCGATTTTCTATTTTTTATTAACTCAATGTATTTTTTGTCCCTAGGGTTTGCTTCAGCTGGTAGAGTCTAACGTTAATCTAAAGTGTCGTAGTGAGGACGTGGATCTTGTTCAAGTAATTTTCTTTTTCCTATATCTTTTTATTTTGAATTTTCCGCATATTCACTTTTTTATTCTATAGTCACTTTTGCCCCAATGTATTGAGGAATTCAAGCGTCAGACTGGCATGAATTGCAATGTGACCATAAATTCAACTTCTTTTTTGCCCAAGGATTGGTATATGTCTTGTTTTTATTTTCTAGTTTGTTTTCTTCATCATTTATTTTTACTTCGATTTTCTCAATAGCTGTGGAGGCGTTGAACTTTCTGTTCGCCAAGGTCGCATCTGTGTTAACAACACTCTGGACGCACGTTTAGAGCAGGTTGCGGAGAAGATGATGCCGCAGATTCGAGAACAATTGTTCGGTGTTAACAAGAATAGAAAATTCCGTACTTAGGCCTCTACTAGTCATCAGATATACGCTCTGCTGCCATTTTCTTATTCCCCTTTCGAAAATTCCACGTGTGATTATTGATAATAATTTTGTTGTGATGTATTTAGTTATTTATCCATTGGGTTGTTGTGCATTTTTTCTTCTGCTTTATTAGTCCTATAAAGCATTGAATGAATTTTTTAGCTTGCTGTTATTACCGATTCCAAGTTTCTTGTTTCGCTTGCATTGTCGTTTGGGGATTGTTTCAATTTCTATGAGTATCGGTATTACGGTTTTTATTTGTGCTATTGAAATTCGAAATCGTTTTTAATTGGGGCCATGTTCGAAGCGTTGTATTTTCCGGTAGTATTTTGGGTAGGTTATTATGTTTTTTTATTTTCACGTTAGTTGTGTTTCATACGTGTCCCTTGAAGGTTAGATTGCTATAGTATTTGTATGATGGTTTTCTTTTTTGGCACAGTAGTGATGAAACCTTATAATGCCTTTGAGTTATCCTCAGTTGCGTCGTTCCACTTGTACTGTTTCAAAATATGACTTATAGAGTTGAGTTAATTTACCTATTATTTATTTATGTTATCTCAAATGGCAGGCGTTTTGCTAGTCGTCATTAGCCCTTTAGCTGATTTCGGGCTTCATAGAGAGGAAGATGAGCATCAAAGTGGCAAAAAGTCGAGAGGGGGACGGAGTAATGATTCACAGACGTAAAAGAGACAGACACAAAGGTAGAAAAAAGGTGAGGTGAGTACTGTGAAAGGGGTCGAATATGACAAACAGACGGGTCAGAGTATTTTGAAGTCAGAATTGAACTGTCGATTAATAGACTTTTGCCATTTAAGTGTGCGTTGCCCAGGGTGCACCACGCGGAGGTAAGTCTATTGCACACCTCAGTTTACCGATTATAGTATTCATTGAATTCTTTAAGTATTTTCTAGATATACATTTAGTATTGAGTACAGTGATGATCAACATCGGACTATCGAACGGAGGCAAACTAGTTTTTTGTTTTAAATGAATTGTGGGACTGTTCCTTCAATATCAAATGAAAAGTGTATATATTATGGTGCTGAAATCTGGAATTTATCCCGGATTGAATTTCGACGCGTTTCTATGGTGTTTGGGCTTTATCACGGGTAGGTCGCTGATTATTCTGCGGCTTTGATCTCATCATCTTACAAAAGAAAATAGGCAATGAAAGGAGACTTATGTCCCTCGGAAATAAAAAAGGATTAAGAAGCAATCAAGCACACAGAGGCAGTAGTATCGGTTTATATTTCCAATAACCTTTCCTTGAATAGAAGAGGACCGTCATTGGATTATATTTGTAGTTTAAGTTCAGTTCTCATTCTGCAGCACTTCATTTGATTAGCCTACAAGTTTCCATATTGATTGGTCGCAAATTAACTTCCGATCCTTCAGAAACATCAAAACCCCATCTAGTTTCCTGTGCGATTCAACGGAAGTTCGACGCATAACTTTCCAACTAATTATTTTTTAACACTCTAATTGCCAGTAGAACTAGTCCAATTGTAAACTTAGAAGGCGCGGTTTTTACCTCACAGCAACTTCTACAACGCATTCTCCTCGTCAGCTTCTTTCTACGACTCCTCCACCTTCTGCTCGTAATGACCCAGTTCTTTCCTTTCTTCAACTGCTTCCCATAAAACCTAGCATCTCTTAATCTTAGTAAGTACTCAGTAGCAATCCAACCTTCATACTTTGACTTTAATATGCCATTGCTATCTATCTAGAGGTTCCAATTGGTTAGAAAGTTCCAATTGATGGAAAAAATACATCAACGTGATCAGTGCACTTAACTTTGTATGACCTTAAATAGGTAACAGAGTAAACGACTGATGACTGTGAATCGGAACAACACTTTCTCTAATACTTAAGGACCTTAAACTTATAACAATTTTACAGCATTTCTGGCAGCCAGCAAAATAATAAAGTTGGTAAATAATTAAAAAAGAGAGATCAAATTCAGGAAAATAAGTTAACTCAAAACTACCGGGGTTTCCCTAAAGTTCGCCCATGTGAAAAAGGCCCTCTGATGTAAATCGCGAACTGACAATAAATTAAGAAACGGTCGCACCTCCCAATCCTGGCGTGCAGGCATGCGATGACGTGTCCCACACTTCTAAAAGACCTAGGATTCATTTCAAATTATGATAAATTAAATGCCGGAATTATTGTATGAAATAAATAGTTCTCTCTCTATATATAGATATTTTTTCTCCTTAAGTTTTAACTATTTTACTTGTGTCATCGCTCATGGGCTCATATTCGAATGAGCAGTTATTTGGTTCCACACAAAAATAGTTTCATGAAGTGCAATTTTCCGTTTTACCGCCTTGGGTGGATTTTCAGAAAACCCTGATACTTTGAAGCCTCATTTTAAAATAAAGAGGAGCTATATGATTTTTGGTAATGAATTTGAAGAAAAGGGACCTTAAAATAGTAGCTCAAAGCCTGTTTAGATTTTCTGAGAAATACAAGCTGATTTTTTTAGAATGCGTCATTTCGAAAATACTAGCCTTATTTATAATAGTCAAATAATTTGAAATGAACAATCGTAAGGACTAAAAATGTCGTTCGATAGCGCCATTCACTGTGAGTGATAGTGGCCAACAACTCTGATGCACCAAGGTCGTGAACCCACTTCAAACACCCTTGCTAATTAATTAACCGGTACCAAAGAAAGCTTGGTTTTATTAGTAAGCTATTCCCCTATCAAGGGTTAGATTTCAAATTCGAATATTTGCTAGGAAATTTTATGACGTAGCGGCAATAAGAGTAAAATTTATGAAAAAAACAGATAAAAGAAACTCTGAACCCAAATGTACCAACGTTAATAGGAATTAAAGTGCATTTACATATGCACGGAGTAGAGCATTAACAACCATCTGATCAAACTGTAACGGAGACTTAATATTCATTACACAATGGTACAAGAGACGAAGCTCACGAACTTCATTTAGATCCATCGGTTCGGTTTCCTAGTAAAACAAGATCGAAATTTCGAGCATTCATTAGAAGGCCTTTGAGTTTTTCCTTTTTGCCCAGTTAAACAAAGAATACCTTTAAATGCATAGTCGGTTCCCTATAAAGGACGAACACGACCTCTCGTTTTACTTCTAACATATAACATATAACTTACAAGTCTGATCGTTGCATGTTCGCAAAAAAGCAGATACAAAAAGATGAGACTTGAAGTGGAATGAGACTGAAAAGGTTCTTACAAATATTTAAAACGACAAAAGTAGACTACTATAGACAATGGAGGGACAGCTAATGTTCGTCGGCACTTTCACTCTCCTTAGAATTTTTTGTCTTTGAAATGGCCAATTCTAGAGTTGGCCAAGAACAGGCCTCTGCCTTTCTCATCACGATTTCCGCCTTTGTCGGCGTCAAGTTGAGCTTCGAAGTAGATGGATTAATAACCTAAAATAAAAACAGAAATGACAAATAAAGGAAACAAAAAAGATTCAAGTGATAGAATAAACTAAGATGGAACTATACAAAATGCACAACTTGTATTTAATAAGGCCCACAACTCGTTCGCACCAAGTTAAATAGGTTATCTCTGCCCTGTAAGTTAAAAATATCATTTGCTCTCCGGTGTAATTTTCATCCAATCCCATTTGAAGCTTAGCTTTGACTGAATGGAATATATTCAAAATATCTCAAGCCACAAATTTTGCGTGAATAAGGCAACAATCAAAATCGGGGTTAAAATTAGGAATCTCATGCATTTTAATTCACTTATCAGCAAAATAAATATTGAATAAGATATGAAAAATGGATAAATAAATAGCCACGTTACAGATCAATAATATTTACACCCGAGATAAACGTTATCTTACAAATACAAATAAATATAAGGCTACAGTTACGCAAACCAACCTGCGATTAAGCAACGGCATGGCAACTGTGGGTTACGTCATCGCATGCCTGCACGCCAGGATTGGGAGGTGCGACCGTTCAAACAGTAACCAATCATCAACCTCTGTTTGTTTAACCTAATCCCCCATCCTGATCATGATTAAGCTTCCTGCGTGTAAACTTTACCCGCAATACCCGTACTGAATAAACATGCTCCGTGCTACACGTCTGTTTCCTTTATAGCTGGGATATAGCTTAGCTGAATTATACGTCTGTTTTCTTTATAGCTGGGCTATAGCTTAGCTAGTGAGAGTCTAGCTAGATGTTGGAGAATCTGCCATAGAGATTTCGGTCAGGCTTTACTAGCGTAGCAATCCGCTACAATGCAATCCGGTCAGGCTTTACTAAGGTAGCAATCCGTTACAATTCTCAACCGGTCTGGCTTTACTAAGGTAGCAATCCGCTACAAGTCTTTAACCAGGTTAGGCTTTAATAAAGTAGCAATATGCTACACAGCCACCAAAGTTAAGAAATGTTGGCGCCTAAGGGTTTGGGCCAAATTGGAGTAATCATATCCCATCGATAATTTTGCAAAAGCGATGTAATATAGATTTCGATTAGAGGTGAATAAGGGGAGTGACAAAATACCAGGAAAAACAGGCGATAAGTAACTAGGACTAAAAACTGAAAGAGGAATAAGACAAAACAAGTCCGTCCAACCGAAGGAGTAAAATGGCGATGTTATCAAGCCCACAACCAACCTATTTCCATGTGAAGGGGCAAGTCGCATAAGCGAAGTTGAGAAATTTAGCAAATTGGGAAAAATATATTAACGTTTCAGAAAAACTAAAAATTGTAAAAAAAGGACCTGAATTAACGTATTTATGTTATGGTATTGAGAGCATTTTAAATCGATTTTCGAACACAGGAATAGGCTGATATGATAAAAAGAGAAGAGACCAAGAAGAACGGTAGATAGAATAGACTAAATGTCATTAGGAAGCTCGTAACTTCACTTTGACCATTATCAACTATCATGAAATGCATCTTGCGGTAGATTAAAACTACGCCCAAAAGTGATAATCGAGTTAAATGACACATGATAACTGCTAAGTAAGAACTTCACATTGAAAATGAAAAAAATAACAAGCTTTAATTGGGTCATTTACAACACAATTCCTATTAATAATAATAGCATTTAAAAATGATCGAAGTAAATCAGCTCTTCGAAACTGACATTTAACAGTTTAATTCTTATGATAGTAAATTTTACCAACATAATTAAGAATAAATGTGTGAAAAACAATAAAAGCTAAACAAACCGTTGTTCAAAGAGAATATTGGAATGAGAAAACATTTTCATACCTCACAACTGAACGTCAAATGATGTCTCAATTTCAAAATAGCCGGCATAAAAATAGTATTTTTCGGGCTGTTTATAAGCGGAAAATTTAAACGAAGTATTTTTAACCCAACTAACCCCATAGAGGTTGAAACTGCGTTCAAAGAGCTCTTTTCCTCCACCATAGACAAGGGACACCTTTAGAAAAACTTCATTACAGCGAACGTCAGTCGATTCAGGTATGATATTCTTCGCATATATTGAAAGAGTGACAGTTCCAGACATTTGGAACCAATCGAATCTGCACTGAGATGTAGTCGGAGCAATTACAGTACCAGTAGTTGTCGCAACTTCCTAACAAAGAGACAATCATAACTGAGTAAGAGGGAGGAAATAATATCAATTAAGAAAACTAAATGCACTACCTCTGAGGACCAAACATGCCTACCGGAGGTACAACCTGGTTGGTTGAGGAATGCCTCAAACTCTGTTGTTTTTCGCTTACAGCAGCTCCAATATTTGCATCTAAAATAATATAGGACATAATGAGAACAGACTCGTCTCACCCTTCATGGAAAACAGGAACACCAGAATGGTATAGGCAGGTCTCTGTATCGCTTTCAATCCCATGATAAACCTTTTAAGTCCACGAAGAATTATAATGAATCAGGAAAGAATTCACTTAAAATCAAATATACTCACTGCCTTGCAACCTGAATTACGACAGTTCTTAATGCCTAAAGTGGGATAAAAAATTAAAGCAGGAAAGTAAAACAAATATAAAAGCTAAAGGAATAAGAAATTACCACTTTTATTGGTAACGGAATTAGAGCCCTCATTATTTATGGACTCCTGATATTTTGTTAAACTTGGTGAAACGTTAATAGCAAGCTTTTGAAGAGGTGCGTCAGAAGTAGGTCTTTCAGTCGGGGGTTTTAAGACTAAAGGCTTGGGAGGAGGAGGAGTGGCAATCTAAAAATTGTAGGATTAATAATTAACAACTTCTGCTTTTGGTTTAGGTTCCTCAACTACTTGCGGTTTTTCCGGATTGTGAGGACCCACCGTACAACCTTCTAACCTGAGAAAATCACCAAAATCTGTGCTGTATTTTTTGCAACATGTCCATTGCTTTTTGGCATCGTGAAAATATGGTTCACCGGGATGATATTTACAAGATTCTAATAAATTACTGAATGGCATAGTTCATATAACTTACCATCCCCATTATCGTTTGTGTCAAATAATTTGCCACACCCTTTATTATAACAGCGCACGTTAGGCATGATATTTGGATGTATAGCCTTAAAATCACAAAGTATCGCACGGATTGACAGTTTCAAAAATATGCGAAATCGCTAGCTCTAGAAAATTCTAGATTTTATTTGGCTCAAAATTAAGAATTACTACACATATTACCGCTTTTAAAATGAATGATTCATTAGATATAGAAAATGCGATCGATATTTTAAATATCTATGATGGATTAAAATGTATGCATCTTAGAACCAAATGTTAATGAAATAATCGCTTTCCTCTTCGAAATAACTTTGATATGCTTATAAATATAGATTAAATTAAGATTTTCATAATTTTTTCTATCATTATTACTCAAGCATCCAAAAAGTACTCGTTCAATGGGAGAAAAATTTGAATGAGACGAGTTATCACCATCATTTTCGGAAAATTACATATATAATCATTTGTCAAAATTAGGGAGCCTTTCTTGGTATTTAGATCATTTCTAGAACAATTGGATTTGCTGAAACATTGATGTGGATCTACTTTAGATTCATGATCTAAAAGCTTTTATAATACCTGTAATAACATAACTCGACAATTTTTTGCAAATTCAACGATAATTATGAGGCAAATAGTTTAAAATTTTCTAAAAAATGAATATGGGGTTGATAAAATTTTATCTATTGTAGCCTGAAATTACCAGTTCTGAATGACAATCAGCAGAAGATACGAACCGTTGCAAATTTATTGTTTTAAAAAGCGATTTAAGGCGAGATTGTGGTTGTTCTCTAGATAATCTTACATTAAGTTTCGTGGCTAAAACTCTAATAACTCCATACAGTTCAATGGTATAATCATTATTTATAAATTTATTTTAGGTTAAATATAGATTATGCTAAACAATTAAATCATGACAAAGCCTCATCTCATTTGAAATAACTCCCGAGATTAAATAAGCCACTCTAACAAAATCGAAGAAGAGGAGAGGCTGGTATGCGCAGAATTTATTCTTATTGGGTTTCACTGCTGCAAGTCCTAGACACTAAAATAAAATTGATAATAAGCATACTTGTTCCCCACTCGATCATTTCCACAGCCACTCCTCCGAGACTGTTCGAGTGTGTATACAGCTTCCTTATTCAGGCGTACGCACTTCAAAATAGCCCCGCTAAGACGTTGTTAGGTGGCTAAAAAGTTACACATTCAACCATTCCAGGAAACTTGATGTCGACATGGTCAAAATGGTATGACCTTATTACTAACAGAATTTGAGTCTGGAGATTTAAATTTTGGATTGAAAAGGTGAAGAGCAGAAGCAAGAGATTGCTATCATTCACCACAATACGGAGATCTCTGATGGTTCCTTGCCTCATCTAAGCATGTAAAGACAAATTATCAGAAGTACGTTGCACATTTTCTGAGTCGAAATCTTTTCGGTATTATCAAATTGGGATAATTGAAGCTATTACTTTTCCTATTTAAATGCACTAACGCGAGTGAACGAACAGTGGCTACACATTTTCTCAATTTATCAACATTTTACAACATAAATCGATTCCTACAGGAAATGCAGCTGATTTCCCTACGATCATACTTTTATAAGCTAACTTGAAAATAAAAACTCTACTGACCTGATTAATTATTCCTTTTGGCATAATGTACACGTATGTAAATTTCTTCCAACGAATATAATTATATTAATTACATAAATTCACATATATCACTTAATTTACATCAACACAAAGCGCCAGAAAACAAAAAATTAAATTCGATTATTTCTGCATCTTTAAATGAAAATATTGAAGTTTTAATATATAAGTAATAAAAATTACAATTTTGAACTAGGCTGATAGACTCTAAACGTGATAGAATATTAAGAAAAATTTGTTTCAGTATTTCAATTTGTACTAAAGGCGTTGTGAATTGATATATCAAAGGTGGAATATAATGTTCCCTTTGAAATTAGCTATAAATCGTGTGGTGAAAAAGTGAAATGTGATGAAAGTAGATAAGAACTTTAATGCAAGCGCCTTAATTGACTTTATTTAGTAAATTATTAAAGAATGTTTAAAGCTTATATGTTAAATAAAATAGACATTAAAATGTTTGAAATCGAAGGTTCAGTTTTGTGTACAAAAACAAATTAATTGAAGCTTTTAAATGGATTACACTTTTCTGTAATGTTTCTTGTTCTGTGACCTTGAAATATAGTCACGTGTCCTACAACTGACACTTATCAATGGGTGTGTTTATTCAAGAAATATTTAGACACCGTATTTATGGCATTATCTAACATATTAAATGATTACTATAACAATTGTAAATGCTCAATTTTATTTAGAAATGTTTCAGCCTTTTCACTTTCTCCACATCGGTGTCTTATTTCTACGCTTGACGATCTCCGAACATATTATCATACAGATGGTTCACGTAAATGTCTGGTGTAGAGCTTTGGTTTTCTATTTATTTGTGATATTATTTTTCCATTCATTTCAGGAGTTGTTTCCGATCTTCTATCCTGTCGTATTAAGCATCGAAAGAGAGCTTTCGTAAACCGTCAATTCCGTATAAATTGTGTTGTTGAATCAGATTCCGCTTCTATTGTGCATTTAATTGACGAAAAGTGTGAAATTCATCGTTACGAAGTGCAGATCTTACCAGAACAGGTATATAGAATCGGTGAAACCTCAGGAAATGGAGACTTATTGTCGAACACCTTTTGTACCCACGCTAGTCGATTTGATTCACCAGATTCCATCGCTTGTATTTCTGGTCAACGTTTAAATATCTTGAAATACAGTGGTAATTCTTTGTCTTTTGTTATTGCTTTTTAGATACTGTTGGTTATACTTTGTTACAGTCAATTGAACTTGGAAACAGATATAGGTTCTCTCAATTTGCACGGGAGCCTGTCAGATCTTTCTTCTTAAAACCGGATGATTATTGCCGAAGGAAAATGGTTCTTTTGTTTAATAAAGACACTGTCATTTCTGCTCCGAGAATTCGGGACTTCAATAATCAGCCTCCATTTTATAAACTTCATCGTCAGTCACTAATAACTGCGGTTGGTATGGCGTCTGCTTTTGAGGAGTCACGAAATGTTTCCATCTATATTGCGAAAGGAAACATATTTAGTCTTCTTCCACTTAAGGCTACAAAACGGAAAACAGGTCTTATCGATTTTATGGAGGCCTCCAACACAAGCGAAATTTTTCACCTTCAATGTTTGTTGGCACCGAACAATGATCGTAAAGGAGTTTTATTAAGACGAAGAGATGGTCAAGTTGAGTTCTGGGATGACAGGCAGCCTAAATGGCCAGCCGTAGTTTATCAAGGCTCATTGATCAGTTCAAATGCTCCAAAAGGTGGTCATCCTGTTGTCGATTTTCCTCAACAATTTTATGTTGCCGCATCGGTTGGTGATCAAAGAATTATTCGCATGTGGAAACTGCAAACCGGCGAATTAATGAACGTCTTGGAAGGTCCCGAACATATGCATCTAGATAGTTTTCCCTACCCTCCAATCCTCATCTTTCGATCGTTTTGGGGGTTCGATGGCAACCATTCTTCTTTCCAGGGACCCACATTGATGTCCATTAAGAAAAATGCCTTTGACTTTTATTTTTAAATGCGTTTGTTATAACATATAATTGTTAATACATATTATTATATGGCTTCGACAGATTTTAAAAATACTACCTACCTGGACTTCTTGAGGATTTGGGCATTTTTACATTTTACAACGGGGGTGTGCGATAGACTTACCTTCACTCATACGGCTAAAAAGTCTAATAACCGGTAGTTGACTTTTCACTTCAAACTACCATCACCCCACTCTATGTTATATTCGACTACTTTCACAGTACTTACCTTACCCTACTCTCGACCTTTGTGTCTGTCTCTTTTACATCTTTTAAACACTCTTCTATCTCGCCTTTTTTCTCTTTGGTATTCCTTCCCCTCTATGAAGCCTGAAGTCAACTAAAGGGCTAATGATAACTATCAAAACGCCTGCCATTTGGTATAAATAAATACTTTTTACAACGATTGGATTGGATTGGACTAATTGGGTTATAAAAGGATTTTTCGTCGGAACAGATTTATGTCGTTTTATATAATTATGATGAATGCGATTTGATACCTATGATCTAAGGTATGGAAGTGAATTTTTAAATGCGCACGTAGTAACTGGGGGGAAATATTATGTGTAAGATTAGTTTTAATATAAGGCAACCTAAATTTCAAAGCGTGAAATTTGATTTTAGACGGAGCTTGAAGCATTGAATAAAAATTTATCGATGTATGATGATATGGGCCTAACCATAGGTTGAATTAACACTTCTCTGAAAATCACCTTCAGTTTTGATACATGACATGTTGTGACTCTCTTCAAAAATAGTTTATCAAACAGTTACCTATTTTCCATCTGAGGTAGCTACGTATTAAATTATGATGCTATATTATTTATTCATTTGTTGACACCTCAGCAGGGCTCTCCTACATCCTTGCAACGCTTAATTGCCGCTGGAAGGGTTAAAATACCCACGTGTCCTATAATAATAAACCGCTGCCAGCTCCTTAATTGGGGCTAGAACTCTGAGATTATTCCATTTAACCTACCCCTTACAAATATATATATATATCCATGAATATTTGCTGATACATAGTTTCACTGGGACAGTATTTTCATTATCTTTACCCACCACTAATTCAACGCTATTTGACGTCTCTCCATTGTAAGGTTGAGTAAATGGAAGTTAGTTTTCGTTGACTCTGTAGAGTTTCTGTTAAGATAATACGCGTCCTAAAGAAGATAAGAACACATTAAGACAGTGTCGACTTGAAAAAGGCTGAGACCATTGGGAGTCACTGTGTATGCAGAGGAGGTATGCAATGGGGATATGATGCACTTTTGATTAACTCAACTTCGAATTTTACTAGAACTCTACCTTACAAATAAACATCATTACCCTAAAAAAAATAGCCACCAATCTCAAGTGGACTATCAATAAGAAAGTACACTGTCACAGCCTAAATTAACTTGGCTCTCAAATACTTAATCAAGATGAGATGACTTCCGTGGATTCATGCCTAAATTTCCTGTTGAAATACTTCACGAGAAGACTCTTCTGTGACTGCAACTGCAACTGATAGTGTTCACGTTGAATAATCTTGAAGTATTTGGACTCTCCAATAGAATTCACTTTAGGTAATGTCAGCGAAACGAATTCAAAGAAAATGAATTTACTACTGGTAGACCTGGTCATGATTTTTCGATAAAAATTAAGTGATCGAATAATGAAATATAATTTTAAAATTAATGTGAAATAGCAAAATGGATTTTAAAGCAGTAGAAGCAAGTATTACGTTTGGAATGGAAAATGTGATGCTTAGAAATGAAGAGAATCATGCAATCTAACAATTTTTCAATAAATCAAGATTATTTAAAAGTGGAAATTTTATTTCATTTTCATAAAGTTGTACAGTGAATAAAAATCGGATAGAGTTGTATTCATTCGGTACAAGAATATTTTGAAGAAAAGTGAACCAATTTTATAAGCATATCATGATCATTAGGGATATATTGTTACCAAATTACTTTACAACCAAGTTGATAACAATTGGCACAGCTAAAACTAATGATAACCCAATGTAGGAAAGTAATGCTTGGATAGAGCAAATGATCCTGCGATTTTTTAATTGCAGTTACTGATTCGAATATGATTATCTGAAATTAAGTAATAAAAGCATAGAAAAGTAGAACTTCACTGTGACTGAGAGGAGGGGGAAAAGCACTAAAAATCGCAAAATGTAGACACAATTATTTAGGCCTAGAAATTAATTTATGAATGCATACATATTTAATAATGTAATCACCACGGTACAGTAATAAAGGGGATCTTTACACTTCCACCGAATCATATTTTGATTAATTAGGTGTTATACTTATTCCTTTCTTAGCAAAAGTGACGCTTAAGCCATAAGAACAAAGTATCTTATGGAAGGATTATTAACAAAAGACTGTCCATAATTGGATGATGCACTATTAGTAATATATAAAGGCCTGTCATTTATTGAAAATTTACCGAATTGTAAGCACTTAAGAGTACTGAAGGCATTCCTCTAGTAAGGGTAATTTTCTTGAATTCAGTGCAATTTTACGTTTAAACAAGGAAATATGTCGTAAAATGTTGACAGATCTCTTGGACAGCTTTTAACATTTCTGTCTACGAAACCAAAGCAAATTATGAAGCCCACTATTGTGGTGACACATCTGAGGAATTATCAGTATTAAAAAACATTGAATACACAAAATAAATGGGTTAAAATTTATGAAATCGTTACGGTGACAATATGTAAATGAAAGTGATATTTTAAACCAAGTAAACGGTCTTTTACTGTTTTAACTATATCTCAAATTTAACCTTACAATCCCTGTGGCGTTCATTATTGTAGTTCGGCGATGATGTATCTGTTGTCAAATTATTCGAAAATCGCTTACTGCCTATTATTTTTAGCAGTTTTTTGGCTATGTCATGCAAAAGTCGATCCCGAAATCTATCAAACTGCGGTATGTTTTAATTAGAATTTTCCTCTGAATTTAAAAAAAAAACATATTATATAGTTTCTTTTTAGTATGAAATAATCGAAAGCAAAGGCTACCAAGCGGATGAGTATGTTATCATGAGCCGAGATGGATATTATCTCACTCTTCATCGAATACGAACGAAAAATATAACACAATTTCCAAATGTGGCGCTTCTACAACATGGACTTTTAGATTCTGCTCATACCTGGATAAACAACCTAGCAAATGAAAGTCTGGGCTTCATTCTCGCAGATGCAGGGTTTGATGTATTTTTAGGAAACAGCCGAGGTAGCACTTATTCTCAGCGGCATGCTTATTTGGATCCTAATGACGATGAATTCTGGGCTTTTTCTTGGGACGAAATGGCCAAGTACGATCTTCCCGCCTTTATTGATTTTATTCTTAAAGAAACTGGTGCAAGGAAGATTTACTATGTGGGGCATTCGCAGGGGGCCCAAATGGCATTGGCCAGGTTCAATATTGATGCAGCTTTGCGTGACCAGGTTGCGGCTTTTGCTGCTCTTGCACCTGTGGCCCATTTGGGGAGTATTCGAAGCCCAGTTCGTTACATTGCGCCATTCTGTAAGTCCCTTCGAACAGCTCGGTACATTTTTGGTGGGAAAGGGCGTTTTCTTCCCTCGAACGGTCTCATTCAATTTCTCTCCTTTTTTCTCTGTGGGGGTGGACAGAATATTTCTGGGAATTTTGCCCGATTTCCATCGTCAGTCTGCGAGAATTTCATTTTTCTGCTATCCGGTTACAATCCCTCAAATACAAATGTGGTAAGATGAATTTATTTCGATAAGTTAATGTGTATGAATCGGGGATTGAGTTAGTGAAATACCTGGTAGACTTAAAAAAAACATATGTTTTCTATCTTGGCTCCCATCTAGTCCTGTTCTCTTGTTATTTTTTGCCAAGAATTCATTTTGTCCACGGTTCTATTCTGCACACTCATTTCAATATTTTGTTTGTATTTCGCTAAATTCAATTATTCAAGCGTAGCAGAAGCACTTATTCTGATGGTAATGGTACTTTAAGAACTCGACCGAATGATCCCAGGAATCTATGTACTAAAAGAAGTATTTTCATGAAGTCAGCATTCCTAAATAAAAGCATCAAAGTGGAGTTAGAGAAATTTGTTTTGGACCATAGGCTAGGAATGATAGAGGGAGAAGAAAATCCCATTTAGAGAAGGCAGATGAATTTAGATCTGTAAAAGGCCCCAATTTCGAACCTGTAGAACTCGGATTACACTATAGAGGACTTCTTGAAGTTCCATAGGGAAGTCGGCATGTCTCGCGTTCTCGTTTGTATATAAATAACCGATTTTATTTACATTTTTAATACTTACTCATTTGTTTATTCGGTCGGACTTTCGTTTATCCCTTACTTTGAATACTGAGAACTTATAACTTTGTCCAAAAATAGTAATTGCCTAAAGTAAGCTTTACATGAACTGGCTTCCTGCCCTACTGCATTGCATGCACCAAAGCATAAACTAACAAGTCTGTAGTGGAAGTTAATGGATGCCATAATCAATTAGAGCTAAGGTATTTCGGTATTCGTTTTTTTTTCGACTGCACACCCATGGTTATTCTTGCTGTAAATGGCCAATCTCGTCTTTACATTAAAGTGTGTTTGGTAGGGTGTCTAGAATTAAGTCTCTTTCTGGGAATAGCGATTATGGACATTCTAACTCTTTGTTGCCCCATTATGAATCTATTTAAATACTTCGATCCAAACACAAGTCAGAGAGAAAACCTAGATCCTAAGCAAATAATTGGTGTTAAGGAAATGACTGCCTATATCAAAATCTACATGTGGTCAATGATCGAATGTTGGGAAATTTATTATTTACCCCGGTTGTGGTCTTACGCTTCCGGGAACGAGTCAGTGAATACACTGAAAATACGCCAAACAATAGAAGGAAAGGTAATAAACGGGAGAAACGCCCAAAGACAAGTAAGATATGCGATGAATTTTCAGTAGTAGTAAGGTAGCAGCAACATACAAGTATAGTATTAGAATAATGTTGTTTATATGATTAGCATGTAAAGCTCTGGTCTACCTTCAGAGTCGTCTTCCAGTCTACTTAGCTCATACACCTGCTGACACCTCGATTCAAAATATGGTCCACTACTGCCAGGTACGTTTTTTTTGCTTTTTAAATATCTTTCTCGTTTATCTCCAATAATGTATCATCTTTCCACTTATTTGTATAATTTATGGATAGATAGATGAATAGTTTTAATGCCTGCCTAATGGTTTGTTATTATCCAAATCCAGTAGCGGAGAATTTGTTCGCAAATATATCTTCGCCTTTCTTCAGAATTAAGGTTGATAAAAACAATTGATTTTAGTCTGTTGGAATTCGTAAGTCTTAAAATAATCAACAAATTCGTAGGACTTAACTGCTTTCAAAGTGTAGTCATTTCTAATAAAGCATACGGGCATTGGTTCGATATAAATAAACTTGGCTGAATTTTGCTGATCCCCGAAACTTTACTGGGGAAGTGGAATTGATTTCTTAGTATGGTCCTACTAAAGATTTTCTTTTTTTAATACCTAACCTGCCTCAGATAGGACTTTGCAAGAGTCCTATCATTTCCTCTGTGTTTCAAGCACCCTCAGTTCTCTCAGTCTCTTCAATTTGACTGTTGTAATGCAAATAAACTTAGGTTGGCACTTAGCTCCTTGTGGTCTGCTCGGCGTTGGATGGTGGTTGCCCACTTTTGACTTCTGAGTGGCCGCCTTGACTCCTGCGTTATTGGCATGGATTCTCGTTACACTAGTATTCTTCCTGTTCTAAGAATAGCCTTTTCATCATTTTCAAGACAGTCAATATAAAGAATGCTTAATAGCATTGTAAAATTGCTGCAGTTATTAATCGCCTTCTCAAATATTTCAACAATTTTTAATTTTCGGTCTTAGTTGCTCTATTGAATTTCGTGCAATAAATACCCTGTTAATAAGCATTTGAAGTCACATTAGTGAGACAGATATGTTTTGAAAGCTTACTTGGAGCTATAGCTAAAAATCCTCATAGACAACAAAGAAGTCTGATGTGGCCGGGCTGTCATGGTTCAATTAACGTGATTCTCACTTCAAATGAATTCAAATTAAGGGTGAAGTGAACATATGCATGCCATGTGCGAATGCCCGTGGACAATAACGCGATATTTTCACACTATCGCCGAAACCAATGTACATTATTCGAAATGATTAACAGGGTATTCCACTGCCGGATATTCGGTATTTTAAGCTTTAAGGCTGGTTGAAACTTTATATATTGGAATGAAGTTCTCTCACTTGCCATCGGGTACATGCTAAGTTATTCAAGGGAGCATTTGAAAAGCAGCACCGTATATTTCCTAATCTCAGGATTCAAACTTCCTTTCTCCTTCCTAAAGTATATCTTTTCCCTTATATAAATGCATTCACTTGTCCAAATATTTCAACGTATTATTTTTTCCCCATAGCTGTGTCTGAGTGCATATTATTCCTACTTCAAATAGTATGACCATTTTAGGGCATATGGACCAGTCGATTCGAAGCTCTGGATTTTGGATCTCCAGCTGCGAATTTCGCGAAGTACAACCGCACAACTCCACCTCCCTACGGTCTCCAAAGATCGGCACTTAATCTCCCAACACGAGTTTACTGGGGTGGAAATGATTGGTTATCAACTCCGCGTGATATTTCAGGGATTCTACACGAAATGACAAGCGATCCGAAAGTGAATGATGTCACGGACGTCTACCTGAATGATTACAATCATCTCGATTTTGTCTGGGGCTTAGATGCTGCTCTCCGGGTCTACCCTGATATCGTTGACTTCTTCAAGCATCATTAAAATTAATTCAGTTAAACATGATTAAAGCGCATATAGCTATTGTTGATTAGATGAGATGAATGCTCTCATCGTCACCAGCTGGAGTAACCGAACCGATTATTACCACTTTAGGGGCTACCAAAATGTATTAAACAATAAACCAGAAACCGATTTTATTTATTTATTTCAAATGGCAGGCGTTTTGATAGATATCATTAGCCATTTAGCTGGCTTCGGGCTTCACAGGAGGAAGGTTCATCAAAGTAGCAGAAAGTCGAGGGGTGGGGAACAGAAGAGCGATTCACAGATGTAAAAGAGATAGACGGACACAAAGGTAGAGAAAAAGGTAAGGGGAATACTGTGGAAGGGGTCGAATATGACAACCAGGTG